AGACCCGAGTGGCGCAGCAGACGCCATATTGCCTCCTTCTCCCCTACGCCGACCCTACCCGCAGCTGCCCAAAGAGACAATACAGCCACCAGCCAGAGGCACCTCCAGGGAACGGGACCTTCCCTTTTGGGGTCCTACAGCTGAATAAGGAGAACTCAGACTGTGAGCTCCCTACCCGCCAGCCCTCCCAAGTGCTGCTGGCACAGTGATCCCAGGAGAACTGTGCAGACCCTGACGCTGAGAGACATAGACCCAGCTTGGGGCCACTATGGGTGAATTGGTACCGGAACTCCTCTCCCTGGTGGGATACAGTTTGAACTCTGGGACCAGAGGTCAGACCTGCAACTCCCAAGTAGCTGGGACCACAGGCATGCGCCACCATGCCCGGCTAATTTTTCTATTTTTAGTAGAGACGGGGTCCCGCTCATGCTCAGGATGGTCGAGAACTCCTGACCTCAAGTGATCCTCCCACCTCGGCCTCCCGGAGTGCTGAGATTACAGGCGTGAGCCACCGTGCCCAGCCTACTATCCCATTCTTTAGCTACCGTGTCATCTCCTCAGCCCAAATCATGGAAAGGATCATCATTTATTAATCCTTTAAGCCTTTCCAAGCCCCACTCAGACCCTGCGTGAGTCAGTGAGAGGCGGGGAGGAGACATTCAACCCCGATCACTTCCTACAAGGGCTATCTTCAGAGAGTCATCTCTGTGTCTTAGGAGCAGATTCGTCTTAGGTCAAGTTCTCCAAGACCCAGATGAGGAGGTGGATATTTGTGTGCAGGGCTGTCACTGAGGAGTGTCCTCAACAACAATACCTGTGCTGGAGGAGGGAAGCAAAGTTGGGCAGAAAGAGATGTTGAACTGGGACGTGGTTTCAACATGGACCTCAGCCACACAAACGGGGTGCTCTGGACCTGGGATGGCCCCTCAGAGCACTCTGGGAGTGAGGCTACCGACTCTGAGCCTTTGAGCCGGCTAAGGATCACTGGTTTGGGTCAGACGGCTCCACTCAGCCCAGGGAACTGGTCCTCAAACTTAAGCAAGTGTTAGAGTCACCTGGAGGGTCTGAGAGCACAGCCAGCTTTGGCACACTCGTGTTCATGGCAGTGTCATGGACACCAGCCGAAAGGTAGAAACCACCCAGTGTCCACTGGTGAATGAGTGGCTACACAAAATGTAGTACGCACGCACCATGCAACATTATGCAGCCTTAAAAAAGGAGGGAATTTCTGACACATGCTTCAAAATGGATGAACCTTGAGGACACTCTACGGAGTGAAATTGTGGCACTGTATGATTCTACTCTGTGAGGTTCCTAGAGTTGTCAAATCCACAGAGACAGAAAGTAGAATGGTAGTCACCAGGGGTAAGGAGAGGAGGAAATGGGGAGTTGGTGTTTCAAGGGGAAGGAGTTTCAGCTCTTCAAGATGAAAAGCGCTCCGGAGAGCCAGGCTGGGGCAGGAGGATCACTTGAGCCTGGAGTCTGAGGCTTCAGAGAGCTATGATGATGCCACTGCACTCTAGCCTGGGCAATGCAGCAAGACCCTGTCTTTAAAAGTAATAATAAAATTAAATAATAAAAAAATAAAATTTAAAAAAAAATGGAGTTCTAGAGATGGATGGTTGTACAATGATGTGAATATAGTCAAGGCACTAAATTTTTCCCTTAAAAACGGTTAAGTACGTGGTGGCTCACGCCTGTAATCCTAGCTCTCTGGGAGGCCGAGGCGGGTGGATTGCTCAAGGTCAGGAGTTCGAAACCAGCCTGAGCAAGAGCAAGACCCCGTCTCTACTATAAATGGAAAGAAATTAATTGGCCAACTAATATATATAGAAAAAATTAGCCGGGCATGGTGGTGCATGCCTGTAGTCCCAGCTACTCGGGAGGCTGAGGCAGGAGGATTGCTTGAGCCTAGGAGTTTGAGGTTGCTGTGAGCTAGGCTAACGCCACGGCACTCACTCTAGCCTGGGCAACAAAGTGAGACTCTGTCTCAAAAAAAAAAAAAAAAAAAAAGGTTAAGTGGTAAATGTTACGTTGTATTCGACCACAATAATAAATAATAATTTTTTTAAATCGCCAATGGCTGCCCCGCCCCTGAGTTCTCTCGAGCTCCCAGGTGACTCGGATGTTGCTGCCCGCAAGGACCAAACCGCTGGTGTAGAGAAATTCCCAAAGCGAGATTCAGACCCACAGTCCTGGGAACTGGGAGACTTAGGGCCTGGGTGTGGAAGCGGAGACCGGGCAGGGCATGTCCCTGACCGGGACAAACGTGGGAAGTAGAAGGGACGGAGCCCGTGCGAGTGACACCTGGCCTCACGGCACGAGCAGCGGCAGGTGCGGGAGGCACGATAGTGACGCCCTTCATCTGCCCCCCTCCTCCTCTCACAGGCATGTACGACACGCCCACCCTCTCGGTTCACCCCGCGCCCACCGTGACCTCGGGAGACAATGTGACCTTCTATTGCCGTCTAGGGACGGCAACCAGCCTGTTCTTTCTGCTCAAGGAGGGAAGAGTCAGCCACATAGAACACAGGCTCGGGAACACCCAGGCGCAGTTCCCCGTGGGCCCCGTGACCAGGGCCCACCAAGGGACATACAGATGCTTCGGCTCTTACAACAACTACGCGTGGTCCTTTCCCAGTGAGCCCGTGAGGCTCCTGGTCACAGGTGAGGAAACCCTCGGTTTACCCCTGTCCTACCTGGGCTGTAAGGGCCCCCCAGACAGTGACGGGGAAGGTGTGAGAGGGACATCCATGTCTGGATGCCCAGTGGGCTGCTCCCAAGGAAGAGGGTATAGGGACAGACGGGGAGGCCAGAAGAAACCCAAAATCCTCACTTTTTTTTTTCTGTATCTCTATTTCCAGGAGACGTTGGGAACACCACCCTTGCGCCTACAGACCCCACCTCTTCCGGTGAGTAACTGGTACCTCTAAGCTCAGGGGAGGGGCCACAGCCTCCCAGGGACGTTACAAGTGTGGTCTTCATTCAGAATATCCGATGAGTGCATCGTGTGTGCCATGAACTGTCGCCTTGAGAGTCAACAAAATACCCTTGTCTTTGGGACACTTCGATTCTAGCAGAAGGAAACAGACCACGAGTCAAAGTCAGGGAAAATAAATGAATTAATATATAGCACAAAAGGAGGAGAGGATGGTATGGAAAAAGACAAAGTGGAACGGGGTCGAAGTGATTGGGAGGGCAGGTAGCAATATTAAACAGGGTTGCCCAGACTGGCCTCACAGGGAAGGAGGCATCTGAGCAAATGCATTAGGGTGGGGGTTGGGCCTGTGGCTGTCTGAGGAGGAAGCTTCCAGAGAGAGCAGGGGCGCTGCCTGTGCCCCTAGGCAGGGCAAGGACCAGGCTGATGGAAGAAGCGCATGAGGCCGGTGGGATCCAAAGTGATGTTGCCGAGGTCGGGTGCGGGTGGGTCGGGGCTGGGGTAGTGCATTGAGGACCTTGAAGAAAATGGTAAGACTTTGAACTTGTGTGTGAGGAGAGAGAAATGATGCCGACGTAATGAGGAAAATGAGGCTCAAAGAGAGGACATGACTGATGCAAAGACACACGCTCCTTGGTCCTAGAGCTGAATTCTTCCCCAGGTCTGTCTTTGGACTGTTCCACGCTGTTGGAACCCATTGGCATTCCTCTGCTCAGTGGGGGGGTGGGACCTGGAAAATCTGTAGGCTGTCACGGGAGACACCCAGGGGAAGGAGAGGCTGGGACGGAAGAGGTCAACATCATCACCTTCTCTTTACTTTCTTCACTTTCCTTATCATCAGCAGACTCTTGGGACCCCTACCTTTTAACCACAGAGACAGGATTCCGGGGAGGTAAGTTAACAGCTGGGGCCAGAGGCTCTAAAGGAAGGAGCTGGGCAAAGACCGATGACCCGGGAGGAGACGGGAGGTAGATGGAGTGAGGTGGTGTCCTTAGGTTCCTGTCACCGATCGCCGAGTTCCTCTGACTGCAGATGTTGCCCTGTGGGCTCATACCACACAAAATCCCCTTGCGATTGGCCTGTCCTTCCTGGTCCTGGTGGCTCTCGTGTGTTTCCTGGTGGAAGACTGGCTCAGCAGGAAGAGGACCCGAGAGGGAACAACAGCTTCACGTGGGAAGTGCAGGAGAAGGCTGAGAGCACAACCCTGAAGAATGACCAAGAGCCTCAGTGGCCACAGGTGGGACTGAAAGCTGATGCTTGACCTTGGGCTGTGCGAACTCTGTGTTGGACCCAGGCAGAGGGACTCATGGCAGGAAACACGGGACAGCAGCATGGGTTTGGCACAGCGTCCTGGAAGCGGCAGGAGGTGGGACAGAGAGGCTAGATGTCTTCTGTAGCCACATGCCATTGTCCCTTTTCTGGGTTGTATTTTTGTGGCCATTTATTGCAAACAATACTTTTGACCCTTCTGGCCTTTTCTGAAAATCTCTCTCCTTTTTTAACAGCATGGCCATGGGATTATTTCCTTCCCACTTTGGTCTTTATTTCTTTCCTTTCTCTGCAGGATGCCATTCAAAATAATTAACAACCAATGTAGAACAGGCAGGCAGCAAGTGGTTCAGGAGGCTTCGTGGCAACGACAATGAGGAAGCAGCTGTTCACAGGCAGTGCAGCCACCTACACGTGTCCTGGCTGGATCCAACCATGCCCCAACTCCCTTCCCTCTGTCCCCAACTCCCTCTGCCCCAACTCCCTCTGTCCCCAACTCCCTCTGTCCCCTACACGTGTCCTGGCTGGATCCAACCATGCCCCAACTCCCTTCCCTCTGTCCCCAACTCCCTCTGTCCCCAACTCCCTCTGTCCCCTGGCACCATGGGATTCAGTCTTCTTTACCCTCACCTTGCCTTGTTCTTCAGGTCTCTGAACAGATATCACCTCCTCCCAGAAATTTCCTCAAATCCTCCACCCTGACAAAAAAGCCCACTTGTTTCTATGCCCAATGCACCTGTTCTTTCTCTGTAACACACCTGAACCCCGATACTGCAGACACATCCATGTTCCTGTCTCCACTGTGAACCCACGTGGATTAAATCAATGTCATGTTTAGTGGCTAAGTTCACAGTTCCTGCTACTAAAAGAATTCTCAGGAAATATATGTGGAATAAATTAATATAAAGGGGGCTGGTGCACAGCTTGGAACTTGAGACTTCCAACTAAGGGTGTTGAAATGCCGTCTGGGCACCAGCAGACCTTTCCCCCTTGAGCACGGCTACCTGCCACCCACTGGCATACTCATTAAATGGGTCCCCACCCCTCCCATTATTCTGACATCTCGTGCAAGTCACATTCATTCTCTAAATCTGAGTTTTCTGTTAAATATCAGGGAATAATTCCAGCTTCAAAGAGATAACACGATGATTTAATGAGGTAAAGAACAGCAAGAAACCAGCAAAAGCTCCTACATATGCTAATCATTGCATGGCAATGACTGTTATTCCTAGTGCTGTAGGGAACTGAAAATTGTACCATATCATCATGGCCATGGAAGCCACATTAATAAATGCACATTTTAACCTTAACACTCATGAAGTGGGTTTTTTTATTTTTTTTTATTTCAGCATATTTTGGGGGTACAAGTGTTTAGGTTACATATATTGTCTTTGCCCCACCCAAATCAGAGCTTCAATCATGTCCATCCCCCAGATGGTGCGCACCACACCCATTACGCATGTGTATAGCCATCCTCCCCTCCCCCATCCCATCTGCCCGACACCCAATGAATGTTATTACTATTATTATTGCTATATGTGCACTTAAGTGTTGATCAGTTAATATCAATTTGCTGGTGAGCACATATGGTGCTTGTTTTTCCATTCTTGGGATACTTCACTTAGTAGAATGGGCTCCAGCTCCATCCAGGATAACACAAGAGGTGCTAGATCACCGTTGTTTTTTGTGTCTGAGTAGAACTCTATGGTATACATATACCACATTTTATTAATCCACTCATGTATTGATGGGCACTTGGGTTGTTTCCACATCTTTGCAATTGTGAATTGTGCTGCTATAAACATTCGAGTGCAGGTGTCTTTTATAGAGTGTCTTGTTCCTTTGCGTAGAAGCCCAGTAACGGGAGTGCTGGATCAGATTCTCTGGTTTGTCTTCAGATCGTATAAATCTTTTGCCTTTTCATTAAGCGTTTTGATCGCGAATGTGAGGTGATGAGTTCTGCCTTGAATAAAGATCCTTCTGATTGCACGGCGGAGAAGGCAACATAAGGAAGGAAGACACAGAGAAGAGCCGAGACTGGCTCACCCTTATCTGGGGTGGACACCCAGGAAGACGAGGCCGCCATAACCAATGCTGGAACCCAGAGGGGCCCCGCTGTGACAGGTGCATGGCCTTGAGAGGTGGCAACAACATAAAGATTGCCTTGATTATTCTGAGTCCTTCAGATTTCAATATTAACTTTAGAATGAAATCATTAATTTTCACAACATACCTGACTGGGTTACACAGGAGTTTTTTTTGTTTTTGTTTTTGTTTTTGTTTTTTTTGAGACAGAGCCTTGCACTGTTGCCCAGGCTAGAGTGCCGTGGCATCAACCTAGCTCACAGCAACCTCAAACAATCCTCCCTGGGCTCAAGCAATCCTCCTGCCTCAGCCTCCCATCTTGCTGAGACTACAGGCATGTGCCACCATGCCTGGCTAATTTTTCTGTTTTCAGTTGCCCGGCTAATTTTTTTTTTCTATTTTTAGTGGAGACAGGGTCTTGCTCTTGCTCAAACTGGGCTCGAACTTCTGAGCTCAAACAATCCTCCCGCCCCAGCCTCCCGGAGTGCTAGGATTACAGGCGTGAGCCACTGCACCTGGGCTGCCGATGAGATTTTTATTGAAGCTACAGGTCAATTTAGAGAGCATCTCTACCTGCAGTACATCTTGTTAAGTGTCCTCTAATTTCTCTAAATAATATCATGTAGTCTTCCACATAGAGAACGTACATATCTTTTGTTAGATTTATTCCTAGTTACATAGTTTTTATTTTGTAGGTGGCATCATTCTTTAAATAATTTTATTGCCATTAATATTATTTGTTGCTAGTATCACAAAAATAAAATCAAGTTTTGTAGATTGAATGTGTATGAAGTGGTCTTGCAAATTTCACTTCTTAATAGTTTTAGATTATTTTAGATTTGTTTTGGGGGGAGGATAGGGTCTCACTTTGTTGCCCAGGCTAGAGTGAGTGCTGTGACGTCAGCCTAGCTCACAGCAACCTCAAACTCCTGGGCTCAAGCAATCCTTCTGCCTCAGCCTCCCAAGTATCTGGGATTACAGGCATGTGCCACCATGCCTGGCTAACTTTTTTCTATATATATCAGTTGGCCAATTAATTTCTTTCTATTTATAGTAAAGACGGAGTCTTGCTCTTGCTCAGGCTGGTTTTGAACTCCTGACTTCGAGCAATCCTCCCGCCTTGGCCTCCCAGAGTGCTAGGATTACAGGCGTGAGCCACCTTGCCCAGCCCTAGATTATTTTTAAATTCAAAAATTTTCTGAAATTTTTTCTAAAATTATTTGTTATTGCCTTATTACCTGCCTAGAACAATGGTGCAACATTGAATAAGAGTGGTGATCGCAGATGCTCTCCTTTTCTTAATACCAATATGTGGAATGTTTTAATATCTTACCCTTGATGAGCTTAATTATTACAATTTTTTTTGGATACTCTATCACAGATAGAAAATTGTTTTCTATTCTCTTGCTAAAGGTGTTTGGTTTATTTTTAATTCGCAAATGGGAGTTGAATTTTGTCTTTAAATTTTTCCCGCAAACATCAAGATGATCATGAGTTTTCTCCTTTTTCCTGTTGATGTGATGAGTAACGCTGATTATTTCTTGAATGCTACAGCTTCTTGGTATACCTGGAATAAACTGTGTGACTTTTTCTTTGCAAGATTTTTTAACATACTTTTAAGTTTACAGAAAAATTGCAAGAATAGTGTAAGGAACTCATATGTACCTTTCCCCAGATTCACCCACTGATTACATCTTGCATTTTGCCCTATTTGCATAATAGATAGACAGTTGATGGATGGATGGATATCCAGTTGTCCTTCAGTATCCGTGGGGGGTGGGTTCCAGAACTTTCCACCGGTACCAGAATCCATGGATGCGCAAGTCTCTGATATATAATGACATAGTATTTGTATGTACCCTGCACACATCCCCCTGCATGCTTTAAATCACCTCTAGATCACTCGTACCAGCTATAAGAGAATGCAAATGGTATGTAAAGGCCGGCTCAGGCACCTTCTTCCCAGACTTGGCTACAGCAGGACAGCCCTGTTTATACGGAGAATGGTGGTTTCAGTCGTGCACCACCTCCTCTGTCTCAGCCCCCCGGGCACTGTGAACCCTCCAGCCTTCTCCACATTCCTGACCGGACCCCTTGCAGGGCACACAGCCCCTCCCCACACCCACAGTCCATGGGTGTCCCCAAGAAGCACTGCAAAGACTGCTACCGTGTTTCCCTGAAAATAAGACCTACCCATAAAATAAGCCCTAGCAGCATTTCTAAGCATTTGTGCAATATAAGCCGTACTCCGAAAATAAGACCTAGTGATGGGCGTGGCTACGCAGCGTGTCTGCACAACCCATGCATTTTGTCATGGACTAGTAAAGAATCGTCGCAGCCCTTCTCATTTGCCCCATAAGAGCTCTGTTGCTCAACATGAGAGATTGGGGCCACTGGTTCTAAAGGAATAGAGTCACAAGAAATTCAGGATGGAATTCAGGGTTTGGAGAGTGATGATGATGTTCCAGAAGAAGACAACTTAACTATATTTGAATAAATGTAGCTTTGTTGTACCGTACTTACAAAAAAATAACATATCTCCGCTGAAAATAACCCTAGGGTGTCTTCTTGAGCGAAAAATATATAAAAAAATAAATGCAGAAAAAAAAAAAAAAAATGACCTTGTCTTATTTTCGGGGAAACACGGTACCTGGTGAAGAGGCTGGGCTGTGTGGTTCCTCTACTGCAAAACCAGCCCCAGGCACAAGCAGAGACAGATGTGGCTCCTTCCCTTCAAAGTGACGCGAGAGTTTATCACCATATTATTTTCTTGGGAAAATGGTTTTAGCTGTCAAGAGAATTATGACTCGGCCGGGCACAGTGGCTCACGCCTATAATCCTAGCACTCTGGGAGGCCGAGATGGGCGGATTGCTCGAGGTCAGGAGTTCGAAACCAGCCTGAGCGAGAGCGAGACCCCGTCTCTACTATAAATAGAAAGAAATTAATTGGCCACTAATATATATAGAAAAAATTAGCCAGGCATGGTGGCACATGCCTGTAGTCCCAGCTACTTGGGAGGCTGAGGCAAGAGGATTGCTTGAGCCCAGGAGTTTGAGGTTGCTGTGAGCTAGGGCTGACGCACAGCGACTCACGCTAGCCTGGGCAACAAAGTGAGACTGTCTCAAAAAAAAAAAAAGAATTATGACTCCAGGAGTCTGAAGAATGTGACTCGTATTACTTATTACTCTTCTCAGTTTTGATGTGTCTTTATAATTATTTTCCAGTTAAAAACATTTTTCAATAAAATTTACAATCCCGATGAGACATGATGGATTAAAAGAAAAAAAAAGATTTTTCAATAAAAGTAAATGCACCTTCCCCAAAAAACAAATGCTATGTAAATACTTGTATTACTGTATTATTTAGGGAATAATGACAAGAAAAAAGTCTGTACATATTCAGTATAGAAACAATTTTTT